CTGCAAATGACCTAATCTGAGGAAAAAATAGAAATCGATTGCACCCTGACACTCCAGTGGGTCTTAAACTGACCGTATGGTGAAAGAAAGGCAACTAAAGCAGTTGTTTCAATTAATGTGCACAAAGGTGTATATAATGCTTTTGTAAATACCTCATGAGTACATCACAGAAGCTATAAACGAAAATAGATTCATATTAGAAATCGATTGCACCCTGACACTCCCTTAAATTGACCATATGGTGAAAGAAAAACTGACAATTAATGTGCAATAAAGGTGTATATAAAATGAAATAAAAAAAATAGATTCATATTTGCAAACTGCAAATGACCTAATCTGAGGAAAAATAGAAATCGATTGCACCCTGACACTCCAGTGGGTCTTAAACTGACCGTATGGTGAAAAGAAAGGCAACTAAAGCAGTTGTTTCAATTAATGCACAAAAGGTGTATATAATGCTTTGTAAATACCTCATGAGTACATCACAGAAGCTATAAACGAAAATAGATTCATATTACTGCACACCACTGCAAATGACCTAATCTGAGGAAAAAATAGAAATCGATTGCACCCTGACACTCCAGTGGGTCTTAAACTGACCATATGGTGAAAGAAATGAAACTAAAGAATTGTTTCAATTAATTTGCACAAGGCTGTATGTCTTGTAGATTATGACTGTGTAGAATCAGATTAGCTGCTTAAGTAGTGTAAGCCGAAGATTTTCAGCCTTAAAGGCAGAAAGGTAGAATTTTCAGCCTTAAAGGCAGAAAGGTAGAATCGTGATTGAAGAAGAAAAGGCCTTCGTCGAGCGTCGTGTTTTATCGATTCGAAATCAGTTAAGCCAGCGGAAGCCAACGGATTATAGAAAAGTGCATTTTGCTACCTTTTCTGACATCTCCCGACATGGCTTTTTGGCTTGGCATGGAAGAAAAGAAAATTCCAGCAGATAAATACAAACAGATGTAAATACATTAAGTGAATGCGTAGAAAACAACGACATTTTCAACTGCTGAATATTACAGAATAATGTGTTATGCACGTCTTTTATCTCGCCACTCCAAGAACATCGATTTCGACAACAGATATCGGGATGCAATTCTAATATACAGCGACCAAAATTTGGGCACCTCGACGTGGTGTAATGGTTAGCAAGCTTGTCTTTCTAGATCAATTACGACTGAGTAGTGAGTTCAATCCTCACTGGGTGCTCCATACTTTCGGCCTTGTGCCACATTTAAGCCGGGCTTAGAAAATCATTGGGTACCTTGGCGTGGAGTAATGGTTAGCAATCTCGTCTTGCTAGATCAGTTACGCCTGAAAAGTGAGTTCGATCCTCACTAGGTGCCCCATACTTTCGGCCTTGTGCCACATCTAAGCTACGCTTAGAAAATAACTACAAGCGACCGAAATATACGCACTGTATCTACCTAAACATAACCTTTTCGAATTGGCAATGCCAATATTGACCGTTTCCTTATAAGGAAATACGCACTGACCGAACAGCCAGTACTTTAGGTTGAAATTTAAAAAATCTTAATCTTATTACAATTTTAGGTCTCTCAAGCCCACTGTTATCGCTGTTTTCCAGTATTTATGGGTCCTGGTTATGACGATAAACTACAACCGGCAGCAAGGCCTCTGATCGGGAAATCGGAGGTTTTGACGAACGTGGATACCACCTCTTTATTGCTGTTGTTCCACGGAATGGTAGCACTAGGTTAGGGTCCTAACTATGGGCAGATAGTGACATCCCCCCCCACACACACAATATTTCGATTTCAACATTAAATGACCCATAAAAGTGTTGATATGCCACGAAACAAATTCAACCAACCATCTATGTATATTTATAGTAAAATGACCAACAACATATTTAAACCAAAATGACCAATAAATACATTTTCTCTGACCGAGTGGTTGGATCGTTCGCATTCTGATAATGAGACCCGGGTTCAAATCTCACCATTGTCGATTTGTCAGGAAGGAGACTTCCTGATGTTATCGAAATGGAGGAGTCGAACCCAGCGCGCGAAACCTTTGGAAAGTGCCCGAAAACCATACGACGGGTTAACCCAAACCTTGTGAGTGAAATTGTTTAGACGGAACCCTAGCTGTGCTAGCACAAAGTCACAAAGTCATCGTGGCCGAGGGTTTGAGAGTGCTGGCCTTGTTCAAATTGTTGATCACACACTCTTTCCCGGAAACCGTAACTAAGGTCTGCTCAGCATAGTTGCAGTATAAACCACAGGTGGGCTCTGTGGGTGTTGAGCAAAGCACAAATGCGCCTGGGCAAGCGTCTCCAATAGGGATTTGCTAGCCGCCCTAGAAGACGGGTATCCTCGAATACGAGTGGCCAGCTATACTACACACACACACACACACACACACACATATATATATATATATATATATATATATATATATATATATATATATATATATATATATATATATGCATGTTTCATTAAAACGACAGACAAGCTTTTTATTTAATTTATACTGGGGTATTAGCGCATAAGTGAATGTAACGAATTCCTCAATCCAAGCCGCTGTCCATTACTCCACCGTGCCGCATATATATATATATATATATATATATATATATATATATATATATATATATATATATATTAAGCGTTTCACCCCAAGCAAGGCGAGAAGCCACTAGGACTCAAGGGGTTACAAAAAATTTGGAGCAAGATCGGATAGGAGTGATAGAAGAAAGGATGAGGAGAAGGGTAGTGGATAGATCAAGGCAACTGGAGATATCGATTGACATTACACTTGAATAGTTGGAGATTATAGCTCTCAGGGAAACTGGGATAGGGAAGGGAGTTCCACAGGCGAGAGGTGCGAGGTATGAAGCTATTGGAGTAGAAGAGACGGCTAACATTTAGGAGTTTCGACAATGAAAGGGTGAGAGCGGGATGCCAGCCTCGTAGGGCGCTTGAACATATGAAGTCTGTGAACCAGCGAATGCAGCTCCTCGGAGCAATTGCCATGAAAGTATTTGTAAAAAAAGACAGAGAGAAGCGACGGTGCGTCTGTGAGAAAGTGACTGTAGACGAGATGCCAGAACAGGGCCAATTATATTGCATACCCGCCTCTGGAGCCTATCAAGAACCCAGAGGCAAACAGAAGGGGCTCCAGACCATAAATGACAGCAATACTCCATACAAGGGCGAATTGTTGATTTGTAGATCTGGAGGATCGATTCCGGAGAGAAAAATTTCCTGGCGCGGGACAGGGAGCCAAATTTTCTTTGCGGTGGACGAAGCTATTGATTCTATGTATTTGTTCCATCTCAGGTCAGCGTGAGACCGAGCAGCCGCAGAGAGGTGCTCTCGAGAAGTTGAGCGTCAGACATTCTAATGGAGGGCAGGGAAGGATCTCTGTGGTGATTAATAGAGAGCAGTTTTGTTTTATATATATATATATATATATATATATATATATAATATCTGTGTAATTTTTAATATACTCTTCTCTTTCTTTTGCCTTTCTTTTCCTTTCCTCTTACTTTTTTTCTTTTGTTGATTTCTTATTTTCTTTTTCTTTATAAAAATCCTTTTTACCTTGTATGGAAAATTTTCCCAAAATCGGGAAATGAAGTGATGTTTCATAAAGTGCAACTTTAAGATCGTTTATTACCATCATTTTTAATTACCTGAAGAAACGTTTTATTTAAACGTCGAAACAAAATGTACAATTTTGTAGTTCTAATGTAACAATGTATAATAAATATTTATTGCTCTACTCTTGTATTGAGCCCTGTTTTAAATTAATGTTTTGAAGGTTCTAATTTTATTTTTCGTTCTTTTTACATATATATATATATATATATATATATATATATATATATATATATATATATATATGTGTGTGTGTGTGTGTGTGTGTGTGTGTGTGTGTGTGTGTGTGTGTGTGTGTGTGTGCAGATATGTAGAAAAATAGCAAAGGACACGTTAGGTAAATAATCCGGAGTTTTTTAGTATTTTTGGTTTTATTTTTATAAAAGAGTGCTCCATACAGAAGTAGAGCTTAAATTATAATTATTTTTTATTTTTTAATTATTTCTTAAAAAAAAATTATGTATACATATATATATATATATATATATATATATATATATAAGGTAATATTGAAGTCAACACTTAGAGGCGACAGTCTGTTTCATGCTAGACGCAATCGTCAGGGCTCAAGTCGTCCACTCCTGGCCTGGCGATTGCATCTAGCATGAAACAGCCTGTCGCTTCTAAGTGTTGACTTCAATGTTCACTTTTATATTTACACATGCTCTATCTCTGATACTGAGCACTTCATCCCATAAATATAGCACACCTTAAGATTATATTTCTTCATATATATATATATATATGTGTGTGTGTGTGATCGCATGATTTTTTTTTCTTTTTTACTTTGAGATGCGAAGTTGTTCTCGGAGAAAGGGAGTCGAGCATAAAAGACGTTAACCATTTCCGCCTCGGCTCTTTAAAAAGCCCAAAACTAAACGCCTTTTCGATAGTGTTAAAATGGAAGAGAATACGCGAAAATAATCGATTGATATTTTATTCTGGGACATGAGCCAAAAATAAAAAAAACAAAAACAAAAAAATGATGACACTCGATAAAACGCGTCACCCACTACAAACCTTTCATGTCACGAATAGTTGAATCGGGGAAAACAAAAATATTTCAACCAAAGTGTTTGCTCTATTGATTTGCTTTGTCGAAAAAGAGAGATGGTTTAGAATTTAAGATGCGAAAAATTGGTTTATTTTTGTCGTCGTTTCTTTGTTTAAAAGGTGGGAGGAGCGTGGGGGGGGGGAATCGATTGTTTTAAGCGGGCGTGGGGAGGGGTCAGGTTGTTTCGTGCAAATAGCTGGGATGGATCGTCGACAAACAGAAAGTGGAAAACGTTTCTTAATGAAAGGCTTAATAACGATCAGTTTTCATTGGTGAATAGTGATTTCGGTCGATTTGAAGATCAGAAAGATTACGGGTGGCGGTGGGGGGAGAAGAAAGGGAGCGTGAATAAAGAGAAAGGGTAATAAATGAGAAAGAAAGAAAGAAAGAAAGAAAGAAAGAACATAGCAAATAAATAAAGTTCTAAAGAAAGAAAGAAACAAACAAACAAAAAAAGAAAAGGCTATGATATACAAATATAAAAAGCAATGTCCTAATTGAAAGAAAGAAAGAATGAAAAAAAGAAAGAAAGAAAGAAAGAAGAAAGAAAGAACAGGAAATAAATGAAGTGCTAAAGAAAGAAAGAAAGAAAGAAAGAAAGAAAGAAAGAAAGAAAGAAAGAAAAGGCTATGCTATACAAGTATAAAAAGCAATGTCCTAATTGAAAGAAAGAAAGAAAGAAAGAAGGAAAGGAAGAAAAGGCTATGCTATACAAGTATAAAAAGCAATGTCCTAATTGAAAGAAAGAAAGAAAGAAAGAAGGAAAGGAAGAAAGAAAGAACATAGGAAATAAATGAAGTGCTAAAGAAAGAAAGAAAGAAAGAAAGAAAGAAAGAAAGAAAGAAAGAAAGAACATAGGAAATAGACGAAGTGCTAAAGAAAGAAAGAAAGAAAGAAAGAAAGAAAGAAAAAAAAAATGACTTGATAGAAAAGAAATAAAATAAATAAAGTTTCTTATAGAAAAGAAAAAAGAAAGAAAAAATTTAGTAAAAGAGAAAGAAAAAAAGAATAAAATGAAGCAAAGAAAGACCGTGATAGGAAAGAAAAAGGTAGAAAGAACAGAGGTAATACACGAAGAAAAAAGAAAGAAAGAAAATAAAGGCCTTGATAGAAGAGGAAGAGAAATATTGAACGTAGAAAATAAATGAAATTGTTAAAGAAAGAAAGAAAAGGAAAGGCCTTGATACAAGTGAAGAAAGAAAGAAAGAAAGAAAGAAAGGAAAAAATAAACATAGGAAATATGAGTTATTAAAGCAAGAAAGAAAGAAAAAAAGAAAGAACATAGGAAATAAATGATGTTATAAAGAAAGAAAAGGAAAGGCTATGATATAAAAGTATGAAAATAAATGTTCTAATTGAAAGAAAGAAAGAAAGAATGAAAGAACGAAAGGAAATAATTGTCTTGATAGAAGAAAAGAAAAGAATGAATATAGGAAATAAATTAAGTTTTTAAAGAAAGAAGGAAAGAAAGAATGAATGAATGAAACGCGTGATAAAATTACATTTATCTGTAAAACGAAAAAAAGATTTTAAAAGTCATTGAAGAAAATAACAACTGCTTAAAAAAGATGAGGAATTTAAAAAAAAAAGTCATATCTATAAACAAAGATTTTAAATAACAACCCCAAATTGCTAAAAGGTGGGAAAATATAAAAGTAACAAAAGAAAAGACAAAACCTCTACGAAAAACAAAGATGGTTGACTAAAGAGTATCACGTGATGTCTAAGTTGAGGGTCACCAAAGTGAGAATAGCAATTGGAGGAACACAAACAATGAGAGAAATAAAAAAAAAAGATTAAAAAAAATCATTAAAATCAAGAGAAGATAAAAATAACAATAAAACCAAAAACCAAATTTCAAAGCTCCCCAAAGTTTTCGAATCGAAAGAGTCGATCAGGTGTTTGCTCACTTAAGAAACAAAAACTAAATTCTCTCAAGATAAACAACTGATTGCGAAAAACATTTTTATCTCAAAATATATTTGAAAATCGAACTGCGCATGCGTGTATAATCTGAAACAAGTCAGCCGGTTTCGAAGTTGTATTTTATTTAAATAATTCAACTTGGCCAGTGGTCCTCACCTTGGTTTGGTTTCGTTTGGTTTCGTTTGGTTTTGGGTTATTTAATGCTGATAAGATTTTTATTGCTGCTATTTTTTTTTACTAAAATATATTGCTGGTAATATTTTTTCCTTCAAAAATGTATTGCTGGTAATATTTTTTCCTTCAAAAATGGATTGCTGGTAATATTTTTTCCTTCAAAAATGTATTGCTGGTAATATTTTTCCTTCAAAAATGTATTGCTGGTAATATGTTTTCTCTCAAAAATGTATTGCTGGTAATATTTTTCCTTCAAAAATGTATTGCTGGTAATATTTTTTTCCTTCAAAAATGTATTGCTGGTAATATTTTTCCTTCAAAAATGTATTGCTGGTAATATTTTTTTCCTTCAAAAATGTATTGCTGGTAATGTTTTTCCTTCAAAAATGTATTGCTGGTAATATTTTTTCCCTCAAAAATGTAATGCTGGTCATAATTTTTTATAAAAATGTATTGCTGGTAATATTTTTTGGTTCAAAACCTTATTACTGGTAATATGTCTTGCTTCAAAAATCTATTGCTGGCAATATCTCTTTCCAAAAATGTATTGTGGTAATGTTTATTCTGCCAAAATGTATTGCTGGTAATAATTTCTTCTTCAAAAATTCGTTGCTGGTAATAATTTTTTACAGAAATGTATTGATAATATTAAAACCTATTTTTACACTTTCATAGCGTTTTGACACCAGTTTGGGGTTATCTATTTGCCCATAACTCGGACCCTAACAGGTGCTACCACCCCGGGTCAGGGTGAACCTGGGGAATACCAGCAATTAAGAATTGCCGCATGTAGTTTATCGTCTTACCCATCTACAGAGATAGAGTCGTTGTATTCTGAAGTCCCAGCCAACGGGGCTCGAACACTTGGATGATTGAGACTAACCAAGGAATGTATAACTGGCTGGGGGTGGGGGGATGAAAATGGGGTCATTTTGAAGACCCCTGAACCTTTTTTATTCACTGGTACAAATTCTTCTGTCTTTTTTCATTCGTTATTGTTTGGGTCAGTGTTTGTGGCTAGCTAAGTGTATAGTAAAGACAAAACAAAACCGTCCTTTTCCTTATTCCCCTTTTTTGGCCTTGTGCCACATTTTCTGTATTTGAAGCGGAAAAAAATATCGCTCTTCGCCATGGTACCTACATTTTATGAATTTAAGCGCAGTACTAGACTAACTTTGACGTCTCATCAGTTGACAGCTGAGCTGGCTAGATGTTGCCGGAAGTTCTATGCTAACAGTTTCTTCTCTCGCACTTTTCACTAGTGGAACTCTCTTCTGGCTCCATGCTTTCCAGCCAACTTAAATCTGCAAAAACTTAAATGCAATGTCAATCGCCATCTCTTGTCCTTCTGTCAGGCTACTCATTCTTTTGTTCTCGCTTCTGTGTCTAACTATTCCACACACAAAAACACCTCGTGTCTCAGTGGCTTCATCGCCTTGCATGGAGCGAAATCGTTTAAAAAATGACAATAACAAATCGTAAATCTAAAATGAATTTGATATTCAAGCAATAATGAAGTGAATTCCTAGCCTTAAATTTCTAGACTAAAGTAAAAATTATTATTATTATTATTATTGCTATTTCCTTTCCTTTGATTTCTGGTGTGTACCAACTTTTCCGGGTCCCGCCCAGAGACCTAAGCTCAGAAATGGCATCATGACATTTTTCACTAAGCAATTAAAAAAACAAACACACACACACACACACACACATACACATATATATATATATATTTTACATAGATAAAGCCCTTCGTAAGGTGTGGGCTGTACTCGGGAGAACAATTTGTTGAATTTCTTTAAGCCATGGGCTACCAGGAATCCCTTCAATGAGTCTATTGGAACCTTTTTACAATCAATTCGAGGGCTCCAACTACAACTAGAATTTCCTTTGATTTCTGTTGCATACACATTTTCTATCGGGTCCCAACCAGAGACCAAATGTTAGAAATGGCATCATGATATTTGCCCTGGATATTTTTGTAAAAAAATAGAAAAAGGAGGCAATACAAGATCACCGACATTTTACATAAAGCTTTTCGTAATGTGTGGGCTGGACTTTTGTGAGTACAATTTTTTTGTATTTCTTTACGGCATGGGCTACCAGGAATCCCTTCGATGAGTCTACTGGAATCTTTTCCAATCAATCCGAGGGCTCCAATTACAAATGGAATTGTTGATGTTCCCATGTGCCACATTTTTGAAATTTCGATTTCAAGGTCCTTGTATTTTGATAGCTTTTTGAATATCTTCAAAGATATATTGCAGTCTGCAGGGACTGCCACATCAATAAGGAGGTATTTTTTTTGTTTGCGGTCTCTAATAACAATGTATGGGCGGTTAGCTTTGATTGTTCTGTCAGTGTGTATTGTGTAGTCCCATAAAATTGTAACAGGTCCTATCTCCTGTGGGCACCTTGAGGTGGTGTAATGGTTAGCAAGCTAGTCTGGCTAGAACAATTACGACTGAGTAGTGAGTTCGATCCTGACTGGGTGCACCCCATACTTTCGGCCTTGTGCCACATCTAAGCTACGCTTGAAAAATCACATCTGGTCCTATCTCCGTAACCAGGTCTGGGTGGTGTTCATACCAGTTTCCTTCCCGTAGAAGTTGCAGATTTTCCAGTGCAGATATTGGATCACTCTGTCATGTCGGGTTTTATATTCAGTGGGTGCCAACATCGTGCAACCTGATACAAGATGATCAATCGTTTCTGGATATTTATCACAGCATCTGCATTTTGGGCTGACACAATATTTTAGTATATGTGCTTGATAATTCCTAGTTAGCAAGCATTGGTCCTGCGCAGCAAGGATAAAACCTTCAGTTTCCGCTTTCAACCCTGCACTATGTAATCACATAGAAGGAGGTCTCGATAGCGTCTCGGATTGAGGAATCAGAGAGCCGAGTTCGAATTCGAATCAAATCCATTACATTCACTTACGTCCTAACACCTTGGGAAAGGTATGAATCCTCCTCTCCTCCCCCCAGCTATGGGTAAATAGAAAGACAGACCAGGTTCTATAGTCTTGGATGGCAGCTGGTCTACCGCAGAAAGAAATGGCAACCTACTGCGAGAAAAAATCTGCCTCGTCAGTCATGTATTGAAAAGATATTGCCTAAGCATGTATCACGCATGGCACATTTGATATTAATTTGTGAAGGTATGAATCCTCTTCTTCTTCCCACACCCCCGCTAGCTATGGGTAAATAACAGAACAGACTTGGTTCTATAGTCTTGGATGGCAACTGGTCTACTGTAAAAAGAAATGGCGACTTATTATGGAGAAAACATCTGCCTCGTCAGTCATGTATCGAAAGATACATGATCGCCTATCACGCATGACATATAACTGACATGGGCACGGTGTTTGTTTACAGCATCATGACATTTTTCTACTGAGCAATTAAAAAAAATTAAAAAAAAACATATTTTACATAAATAAAGCCCTTCGTAAGATGTGGGCTGTACTCATGAGAACAATTTTTTATATTTCATTAAGTCATGGGCTACCAGTGATCTCTTTATTGAGTCTATTGGAATCTTTTTCAATTAATCCGAGTGCTCCAAATACAACAGGGATTGCTGATGTCCTCATGTGTCACATTTTTGAGATTTCGATTTCAAGATCCTTTTATTTTGATGGTTTCATAAAGATCTTCAAAGTTAGATTACAATCTGTAGGGACTGCCATATCAATAAGGAGGTACTCTTTTTATTGCGATCTCTAATAACAATGTCTGGGCGGTTAGCTTTGATTGTTCAGTCTGTGTGTATTGTGTAGTCCCATAAAATTGTTACAGGTCCTATCTCCGTAACCGGGTGTGGGTGGTGTTCATACCAGTTTCTTTCAGTTTCCTTCCCGTAGAAGTTGCAGATTTTCCAGTGCAGATATTGGCCCACTCTGTCATGCCGGGTTTTATATTCAGTGGGTGCCAATATCGTGCAACCTGATACAAGATGATCAATTGTTTCTGGATATTTATCACAGAATCTGCATTTTGGACTAACACAATTTTTCACTATGTTTGCTTGACAATTTCTAATGAACAACCATTGGTCCTGTGCAGAAAGGATAAAACCTTCGGTTTCAGAATTTTAATCCTACTCTACTGATGGATAAAGGGTTTGTCTATATCAGCTTGTTTGCTACAGGCAGAATATTGACCGTCAAGCAGTTTATCTTGCCATCGTTTCTGTATCTGGTTGGTTGCTTTTGCTTTCTTTTTTAAAAGTATTTTCCCGCTTCAGTCGATGTATTGTGCTTCACTTCTATTTCTACAGACGGATATGTAATATAATTGGCCCTGATCTGGCATCTCTCTCACAGACGCGCCGTCGCCTCTCTCTGTCTTTTCTACAAATACTTTCATGGTAATTGCTCCGCCGAGCTGCTTTCACTGGTTCCCAGACTCCATGAATTCAAGCGACCTACGAGGCTGGCATCCCGCTCTCACCCTTACACTGTAGAAACTACTAAATGTAGCCGTCTCTTCTACTCCAATAGCTTCATACCTCGCACCTCTCGCCTGTGGAACACCCTTCCCAATTACTGTTTCCCTGAGAGCTATAATCTCCAACTATTCAAATGTAATGTCAATCGACCTTGATCTACCCACTATCCTTCTCCTCATTCTTTCTTCTATCACTCCTATCTGCTCTCGTTCCAAATCTTCTGCAACCCCCTGCATCCTAGTGGCTTTACGCCTTGCTCGGGGCGTAATGCCTTAAAAAAAAAGTTTGAAACTCCATTTTGAACTTGTTGGCTCCTTTATTACATAATAACGTTATTATTATTATTATTGGGATCGATAAGGAATGAAAGATTTTTTGAAGGGCTTGAGGGTCTAAAATGCTTGATGAGTCCATTCTTAAACATTTTCGGCCCAAAACTTCTAATTTCCCTTCGAATATATTTAACGTCTTATATCACCGGGTGAGCAGGGAGTGCTCGAAACCCAATTCATGCTTAACATCTTCGAGAAGTTAAATTATTGCTTTATTTTACGGTTTATCAACCCTTTGCAAGTTATTTAAAACCGGAAAATATTTTTTAGAGCGTTAGGCATTTTTTTTTTGTTTTTGTAAGTAATAATGACTTGATACAAGTCTTACTAATTAACCCATAGCTGGGGGGAGACGAGATGGATTCATACCTTTCGCATAATTGAAAATAACGAATACAGTAGGAATTGAACTTGGCTCTACGATTTACATTTCCGAGCTATTAACCACTACCCCACTGCAGCTTACAGAATCGGGTATTCAAAAAACGGTCTGTCATCTTGGTACTAATCAGGCATACACTTGACTTAGGAAGGGTTTCTCCTTCAGGCAGTGATTCAACAATTTTGCCAAGACCGGAGATAATTCAGGGCTAATGTTTTTAAGTATTTTATTCATTCAATTTTATATCAGGACCACTAGCCTCCAATGCTCAAACCTTTCGATAAGTCTGTGTCCTTTCTGGGCCGTGATAGAAATAATACTACGAGGGTCATTCAATAAATAAGGTGAATTTTTCGGTATAAGGACTTCTAATACAGATAGAAGCTTACCTTTTTTTTTAATTTTTCAACGTAGTTTCCCAGCACTGTCACACACTTTTCCCATCTGTGCACAAGCTTCCGTATTCCCTCAGCGTAAAAATCTTTGGACTGGTGTCTCAGCCAATCGCTCACAACACATTTGACTTCATTGTCACTTTTAAACTTCGTGCCTCTCGTGAACGCTTTCAAGGGACCAAACAGGTGAAAGTCTGAAGGGGCAAGGTCTGGGCTGTAAGGGGGATGAAGGAGCAGTTCCCAGCCCATCTCGTTGATGGTCTGCATCGTTTGGGCTGCTGTGTGAGGCCTTGCGTTGTCATGATGCAAGATGACTCCTTCTGACTGATGACCCCTGCGTTTGTTCTTTATGTCTTTCTTGACCTGC